CAGAGCTTTAGCAACATGAGGCTTCACGCATGTTAACTGCAGCCTGAGGAGGTACACATGCTGCCACGCTCCCTCCCCCATCACTTTTCAGATGGGGAAATGGAGGCACAGAGAAGTAAAGTTACTTGCCTAAGGTCACACAGCTGGTGAATAGCAAACTCGGGCAGTTTGGGTCCAGGGTCCAAAATGCTGATGTTAAGGTGGGTATGGGTTGGGAGTTGAGGGGTGTCAGTCCTCCACGGGCCTCTTTCCCTACAAGATTGGCTCATCTTGAAGAAGAGGGTGTGTTTGTAGGGTCTGACTTTATCTGGGTGCTAATGTGCTATACTTCCTGGGCTGCTTCGGCAAAGCTGGTTTCTCTTCAACTTGTCAGACACAGAGGAGGGCAGAGGCGGTCAACAGCCCGGTCAGGTGGCTTGGCTGCTGGCCCAGGCTCAGCCTCCCCCACTGCTTCCTCGCTTGGCCAGTTAAATGCTGACCCCTCTGTTGGGGCCAGGACCATCCCTACTCGCCCAGTACCTGTGGCTCCACCTGCCCCCCAGGAACCACTACAGAAGCTGCCCCAAGCCTCCCACCTAAGGCTTTGCAAAAGAGAAAACAGCAGTGCTCACACACCAAGACCAACGGCACACGCTTCCAGGTATCCAGTAATAGATCAAAGAGCCAGCTTCCTCTTCGGATCCCTGCTGGACACTCCGAATGCCCTCGGGCTGTGGCAGGACGCTGCCCTCAAGCCCGGCCTCTGGTTAGGAACCCCTCCCCCTTTCAGGGAAGGATTGAAAGAGGCCAGCAGGGACCTCAGCCATCCCTTACCCCAGTGCCACCTCAGCCAACTCAAAGTCACCTCTGCTCCAGCAACTCAGCTGGCCAGAACCGGCTAGGGACTCCCTCCCACTCCGCAGCAGGATCCAGGAACTTGCCCCTATTGGGCAATCATTAATCGGATTCTTGGCATTCCTCTGCCCCTGGCCGGCATGCTTCCCACCAGAGCCGGAGTAGACGCTCAGGACTGGCATTTGGACATGCAGCTGACCAGCAGGCTGGTGCTGTCCGCAGCCGCGCTGCTCCTGGTAACAGCGGCTTACAAACTCTACAAGTCCAGGCCTGCCCCTGCTGGGCAAGCTGGGAGAAATAGCAAGAGCCACAAAGCGGAAGATGAAGCGGAGGGCTTGGGGCGAGCTGCCTTCCAGGGGGCTCCTCCAGGGACCCCACCAAGGGGGCCAAGACGCAGGAAGGCCAGCAAGGGGGCTGGGGCCCCAATGGACCGCAGCTTGGAGGACCCAGGAGACTCCTGCCAACTGGTCGCCTCCAGATCTGGGGAGTCCACAAGAAAAGGCTCTGATGAGAATCAGAGAGGGCAGCGCCCAGGTTCTCAGCAGGTGCCTCCACCCTGCAGTGGCCAGGAAGCCGGAACAGCTGTTAGAGGTAAGCCCAACCCTCCCCACCTCCCTCATCTGGGCTGTGAACCTACAAGCTCCCCAGCCAGACTTTCCCCAGAAGTGGGCGGCAGCTGCGTGGGTGACAAGCTCTCTCCATGGCCAGACGGCAGACCCCCAGAGCAAACAGGGTCTAGAGACCCAGGAGGCCCCAACTGTTGCACTGATCCCACAGTGGTCAGCCGTGACATGAACCAGAGATGGGTCTTCACCCACGTGACAGGGGTCAGCAGGGGAGAGGCTGGGACCATCCAGGCTGCTGCAGACATGGGCCTGGCCACACAGCAGCAGGAAGGAGCCACCAATGCCTCCTACACCTTCTCATCTGTGGCCCGGATCCGGATGGAGGAGAATATTATACAGAAGGCCAAGGGACCAGGGCCTGAGCTGAAGGGCAGAGTATATGACTACTTTGTGGAGTCCACATCGAAGGCTGTCTCCAGGCCGCTGGTCCCCTGCACAGCAGCTCTGGCTGATGCTCCGTCCCCTGGGTCTGGGCCAGAGCCCCTGGTCACAGGAGCAGACTCCAGAGGCCAAGCTGATAATACAGAGGATGCAGCTGAGGTAGTGCCAACCCCCTCTGCACCAGGCTTCGGCAGAAAGGTGAGTCTCTTGCAGATCGCTGAGAATCCAGAGCTCCAGCTGCAGCCCGAAGGCTTCAGGACGACCCCTCCTGCCCACCTGGACCAGAAAGCCCAGATCAATTCAGCCTGCAGCCACGGGGAGCCCCGTGTGCAGCTTGTAGCTGGGACCAATTTCTTCCACATCCAGCTCACCCCTGCTTCAGCTCAGGATGTCCGCCTGGACCTGGGCAATTGCTATGAGGTGCTGACCTTGGCCAAGAGGCAGGGCCTTGAGGCCCTGAAGGAAGCAGCCTACAAGGTGATGAGTGATAACTACCTCCAGGTCCTCCGGAGCACAGACATCTACGGGGGCCTGAGTGGGGCAGAACGGGAGCTGATCCTCCAGCGACGGTTCCGTGGCCACAAGTGCCTGGTGGTGGCCGATGTGTGTCCCCAGGAAGACAGTGGCCGCCTCTGTTGCTATGACAATGTGCAGGATGCCTGGCACCCGCTGGCCCAGCTGCCCACGGAGGCCATGTCCCGGGGCTGTTCTGTCTGTACTCTCTTCAATTATCTGTTTGTGGTGTCTGGCTGCCAAGGACCCGGGGGCCAACCCTCCAACCGGGTCTTCTGCTACAACCCCCTGACTGAAATCTGGAGTGAGGTATGCCCACTGAACCAGGCCCGGCCACACTGCCGGCTGGTGGCCCTGGAGGGGCATCTCTATGCCATTGGAGGTGAGTGTCTGAACACAGTGGAGCGTTATGACCCTCGAGCGGACCGCTGGACCTTTGCTCCACCACTCCCCAACGACACCTTTGCCCTGGCACACACAGCCACGGTGTGCGCCAATGAGATCTTCGTCACTGGGGGCAGCCTGCGCTACTTGCTGCTCCGATTCTCAACCCAGGAGCAGCGTTGGTGGGCCGGCCCCACGGGGGGCAGCAAGGACCGCACCGCTGAGATGGTGGCTGTCAATGGCTTTCTCTACCGTTTTGACCTCAACCGCAGCCTGGGCATCAGCGTGTACCGCTGCAGTGCCAGCACACGCCTCTGGTATGAGTGCGCCACGTACCGCTTGCCTTACCCCGATGCCTTCCAGTGCGCCGTGGTGGATGATCATATCTACTGTGTGGGGCGCAGGCACATGCTCTGCTTCCTGGCCGACCACATCTCGCCCAGGTTCGTGCCTAAGGAGCTGCGGGGTTTCCCTGCTGCGCGTGGCACCCTTCTGCCTGCCGTCCTGACCCTGCCTGTCCATGATGTGCCCCAGACCCCTGTCTAGCAGCCCCTCTGCTGGGCTCCATCGGGATGCAGCAAAATTCTCTGCCCATCACTCTGGGTAAGAGGTGGGCAGGAACACTGCCGTGGGGTGGAAAGTTCCCTCTCCTCCACCACAGGCTACAGGGCCTTGGAGGATTCTTTAACCCCCACAGTCCGCAGGCCTGCTACAACAGCGAAGCCAGGGCCCAGCATTCCAGGACAGCGGGTGTGACAATGGCGTGAGTGACTGACCAGCACTGTCCTGAACTCCTGGCGGGAGCTATTTCAGGACCCCAGTGAAACTCAGGGCCATAATCTTATCCCAATCACAGTTCCAGGTGCCAGGGGACCCCCTAGGGACCCCTCAAGCTGCTCAACTTTCTGTGACCACCTTCCTAAGCATTGGGGCCCACCTTTGAAGCTTCTAGAACAACTGAAGGAGGAGGTTTGGGCAGGAGCAGGAAGGAGCTCAGGATACGCCCGAGATTCAGCCAGAAGGACAGGCTAAAGCAGAAGGCACCCACGGGGACGCCTGTTTGCAGAACATATTGACCAAGGACCACTTTCCTTTTTTGGTTACCTCAAGTTCCATGTGCCAGGAGGAAGAGAAGCATCCATCTCAGCAGGAGTTCTGTTTGAATTTTAGTCGCTGCACCGCTGAGGTCTTGGGAGACAGGGTACTGATGTGGTTCCAGACTCCCTTTTTCCAGACCACAGCCGTGCCCTAGACTACCACCTGACCACAGCACTGTCCCCAGAGTTCAGAATCCTCTCTGCCTACAGGCCGGGACAGCCACCACTATTTAGCTCGTCAGCATGGCCTTCTCTGTGTCTGGTAGCCATCTTGTCTGCTTTGTCTGATGGGAAGGAACGGGGAGAAGAAGCAGGTCCAGGATGGAGCTAAGGAGATGGAAGGTCCTAGTGGAACATCCAGACTCTCAATCTTTTACATCCGAGGAGACCCAGTTCCAGGAAGAAAGACAGAGAGCCTGGTCCAACCTTTCACTCCACCATGCCCTTGTTCCATTCTGAGGGAAACAAAGATGTTGGGAGGAAAGCAGTGATGTTCTTGGAACCAGCCAGGAACCACGGGGTGTGAGTCACAGCTGGGGCGGGCCTGACAAGTGGGAGAATAACACTCGGACCCTGTGCCCCTTTAAAGTCCTCCACAGATCCCACTGATGGCCAAGCAGACCCACGGGCGGCCACACAGCTGCTGGAACTGAGGCTGGGGGACTTTTTGGAAGATGCAGGATTAGAATGTAGAGCAAGGAGGAGGTTGGCATGGAGATGAGAAAAGAACTTTTGTTGGACCACGCAAGGCGACTATCCCTGGCCAAGGGCCTGGGAGGAGGAAGCAGCTGAGTGATTCTTGAATTGAAAGCTAAGTAAGAAAGGCTGTCTGAGCCACGGTGGGTTGCCAGGGAAGGAACCCTGCCCTCTGCCAAGGCCATGTTGATACTCAGGCATCAACCTCTGAGGAACATTGGGATGCCAGGAGGGATGGCTTCAGTAAAAAGAGTCGAAGATGTTGTGGGATATTTGTACACTGTGTGAAAATGTATTGTTGTGATTGGTGTTATAAAAAGCTGAACAGCCAATAGCTAGGCAGGAGGTATAGGCGGGGCTTCTAGGCAGAGAGAGAACTCTGGGAAGAAGGCAGAATTGCCAGCCAGAGGAAGCAGCATGGGCAGTACAGAGAGATGAGGTAACAAGCCACGCTGCAGAACGTAGATTAAATGGGTTAATTTAAATTGTAAGAGCTAGTGGGACAAGCCTATGCCAAGGCCAAATTTCATAATTAATAATAAGTTTCCTTGTCATTATTTGTGAGCTGGCGGCCCAAAGAAAAAAATCTGATTACAAAAGGGGGCATTGGCCTGGTGGTGCCAGACTGAGACAAGGTGCTTTGGGAAGAGACCTCCAGATCCCAGGCACAAGCGAACCCAGGTCTGAGGGCAGCCTCCGGCAATGAGCCAGACAGAAGGCAAGACCCTAGCCAAGCGGAGTAGGGTCTGGGATAGGTTCTAGGCCCAGGAGAGGGAACACACTAGGGAAGCTTCCAGAAGCCTATGGCGCACCAATGGAACCAGGCAAGTATTCCAAGGAAGTTGGGGGGGCGGGCGGGAGTGTTTAGACCCAGTGGATGGTGAGTGTGGTATTTATAGAGAGAGGGGCTGTTGAGATTGAGCTGTTGTGCCTCCCTTGTGCTCATGCGGCAGACATCACCAATCAATTCCTATACCTTTTCCTGATGAGTCCTTACAATGACCTCAGAACTGTTCCAAACAGAAACCCAGCAGTGGTGGCTGATAGGTCAGAGCTGGCATGCCATCACTGGCTTGCCGAGGAGCTGTTTGGGGGGATGGAACTGGTTACAGCAGAGCCAAGTAACCCAGGGAACCCAGCAGAGGCATGGTGGTCAGAGTTCACTCGTGAAGTGAACACGTGCAGGCTGTTTGGGCCGGGCACTAACTACTCTGTGGCTGGGGGAAAAAGCTTCCAGTAGAGGAGAGCAGGCCGGCTCATAGACCAAGCACAGGAAGAGAGACATTGAACTCAGCAAATGTAACCGCTAAGACCTCCTGATGAGATGGGATCTGCGGAGGGAGATGCACGGAGCAGGAAGGGTTTTGTCACTAAGGCTGAAGAACAGGGCTGCTTCCGAGGAAGACCATCTCAGACTGATCTGGCTCCATCTCTGCTCTCTAGGAGAGAAGCCGACTTGGTGGCTGGAGCCGGCATAATTACTGGGGAGTCACAGGCACCACGTCCATGTCTGAAGCTGGGGGCAGCCTACTGGCATCTGCTTCCCATGGGCTCAGAGTCCACGCTGCCCACTTGACTTTGGGGAATTAGCCTGGGGCCTGCCGACCTCCTGGCCTTGGCTTCCGGATGGCCTAAGTGTCAGCTGGCTCTCTGAGGGCCATCTGTCTTGCTTTTTTTCTAATAAGAGTTCTTCCTGCTTTAGGAGAGGAAAAATGATGTTCGGGTTATTTTCCGCTTTAAGCCAGTCCTTGCCACTTTATAGAAAAATAAATAAATAGACAATCGGAAGATAGAGAAGTGTATAAGAAAACTCTCAATTCTGCCACCCAAAGACATCTCCTGCTGCGGTGCGTGTCCCTCGGGCCTCTTGCTTCTGTTTGTGTGTTTTGTTTGGCTTGGTTTTTGCTTGGGTGTGTTTGTGCTGAACATACAATTCTGTTGCTTCCTTCTGCACACGGCGTTTTTAGAATAAGCATCTTCCGTGTTATTACAAACCCTTGGTAAACATCATTTCAATAGTCACAGAATATTCCACCGAGTGAATGGATCACGCTCTATTTAAACATGCTCCCCTCCTTTTGGGCCTGTGGATTTGTACCCCCTGTTGATTTCTTTTTCTATCATAAATAAAATGGCCTTTGTTTTCTCATTCTTCTCTGAGGTCTCCACCAAAACTAGAAAAGACAGGTCAAGTCCTATCCGGAAGTGTGTGGCTGCTGAAATGAACAGCCTCTAGCATTTACCTAGAATTGGGGCTTCACCCCTTTTGAACTGTAGGGCACACAGCTGACCTTGGTGATGCCCAGTGAAAAAAATCAAAGCTGGCTGGTGGGAAGGAGTGGCCCAGGCATCCTTCATACAGAGTTCTCAGTGAAATGACATTGTCAACCTTGCACACGCTTGTGTACACAGCTCCTCACTGCCACTGGTGAGAAAATGGAGCTCAGAGAACTTAAGGAAACATCTTCCCTAGAGGCCGATTCTGAAGACTTTTCCTTTCTTCAAAGCACACTAGAGGAGCCGAGAGTGTGGCTTGGTCGAGCGCTTGCCTGGCAGGCATGAAGCCCTGGGTTACATCTCCAACATTCATAAACCGGGTTCGGTGGGACCACATCTATAAACTTTGCACTCAGGAGGTGAAGACCGGAGACTATGAAGTTCAAGGTCATCCTTGACTATCTAGTAAGTTTGAGGTCAGCCCAGGATTCTTGAGACCCTGTCTCAAAACCCCAAACAAACAAACAAGTGTGCTGGAAGCTAGCCACACCTTGGCTGGACACCAGCCCCACCTCTGGGATTTTTCTAACCTTGCTTTACTCATGCCAAGCAATCATGCTCTGTTTATGAACCTTCAACTCCAAAGAGATTTTCTTCATTCTCTCAATCCTTACTTCTGCAAAGCAGGTTCGACCCCACCAAGCTCAAGGGGACGATGTGAGACCAAGACGACTCCCTGTTAAGCCAACAGCCCAGGAACAGCTCCAGAACATGCCCCAGAAGAACCCCCAGCTGTCCTGTAGAGTCCAACTGGACAAAGGTCCCACCCCCACCCCACACCCCACCCCCGTGTGTTCCACTCCCTTGCTCAGTGCCTGGGCCTCTGCTCTGAGGTTTCTCGAGATGAAAGGTAGATGTCCTATTTTAGGGCATCTGGGTTTCAGGTACGTAAGCACCTGCTCTGCTCAGGCAGGGGGGGGGGGGAGTTCAGGACCAACCTGCTTTGCTGATTGGTGGTTACCCAGGTCAGAACACTGCCATTTTCTTCGGATGACTTAGAGTTCAGAGCGTCAAACCTCAGCTCCAAGTGGAGGGGCACCTTTCCCTTACAGGTTGGGAGTAACCACTCCTTGGGAAGAAGAGGGCGCACCCTGACAGGAAGAGACTCAGACACAGGCATCTAACGCTTCCTGCCTTTGTCAAGCTTACCTGGAAGGGCCCTGTGGCTCTGCCTCCCCCCAGAGTCCCCTGCAGCTGAAGCGCCACTTAGAAGCAGCCCCTAGGCAGACGTGAGGCTGCGGCAGAAAGAGGAAGATGAAATCAGGGCAGGAGCCACCTTCAGGGGGCTGGGGAACAGAAGAAAAGGACAGCCTGGAGGGAAGACTCCGCAAACAGCTCCCAGCCTCGGGTCCTTTGAAAAGTGAGAATCGGGTCAAAATAAAACAAAAAATGAGATGGTAACGGAGTCTGGGCTGCCTCTTTTGTGTGAAAAGAGATGGAAACATCAGCATTCTCAGCCCCAGGGCTCTGCAGATGCACAGTAGAGATGGAAGGTGCCATCCTTCACTGACGCCAAGGTAGGGTACGTGGCTTGGCTACCATCTTCATGTCCCAGAGGAAAATGGGGATGGGATAATGCACCAAAAAGAATTTTTTAAAAAAGTAGTATTTAAACCAGTCATGGTAGCACAGGTCTATAATCTCAGCCCTTAGGTTGTGTAGAGGGGAGGGGTAATTCAAGACCAGCCTGGGATACATAGCAAGATTTAGGCTAGCCTGGGCTACATGAGACCTTGTTTTAGTTAAGTGGTTTTTTTAAAAAAAAGAAATTGGGTTTAATAAGTATATGTTAGTATAGACTCAAGCACAAGGGTTTAGAGAAGGAAAAGGCCCACAGGAAGAAAGTAAGACCCACTCAGGGCAAAGGTGTGAGCTTTAGTAAGACCCATACTCCATTGTCTTTGCAGAGTTATATGCAGGTGACTCCTGCAGGACAACAATCCATAAAGTAAACTCAGTCGCTCAGGGATTCGGGCAGCAGGGTACATTCACATAAACAAGGTCTCATCTGAGATGCCAAGAGAATGTCTTGGGAGAGGAATAAAGGCCCTACTCAAAGTCATATGCATTTAGGTTGTAAAGCTGGGACACTGTTATTTAAAACAAACAAACAAACAAACAAACAAACAAAAACAACCTATGGGTGGACAGAATGCTGTATGTGGGAAAGCCTTCGCTGCAAATACTGCTAATTATGTTGGAGATTTTGCTTTTCAGACAGTAACAGTCACACTCCAAGGTAAGTGGTTCCTTTTTCTCCCCATGTCCCCATAATTTCTCCTGGTTTTTTTTTCCTGCCTCAGTTTCCCTCCTATCTGAGATTCTGGTCAGGGGATCTTTTGATCTTAAGAATTGCAGAAGGGGACTGGAGAGATGGCTCAGTGGTTAAGAGCACTGGCTGCTCTTCCAGAGGTCCTGAGTTCAATTCCCAGCAACCACATGGTGGTTCACAACCATCCGTAGTGAGATCTGGTGCCCTCTTCTGATGTGCAGGCATACATGCAGGCAGAACACTGTATCCATAATAAATAAATCTTTTAAAAAATTACAGAAAGCCAAAGTTCTGTCTTATGTACTTCCCTTCCATATCCAAAGTCTGCAGTCCTGTAATCTGAGGGGACAGGAGAGTCTAAGCTGGGAGACAGAGGGTCGTTATTTGAAGGGAAGAGAGAATATCATTACCAGAGACTTCAAGCCCTGAACAAGCAATAAAGCATTCTGATCGTTCTAAGATCAGTGCCCAGAGGAGTGCAACCTTCTCAGATCCATCTTTTACACTAGGAATCTCCAAAGGGAGAAATGCAATCATTATGTACACATTAATCGAACACCCAGGCTTACAGGCTCATTGTTTATTGGAAAAGGATCTTTTTTAAAAAGACTTATCTATTTTCATTATGTGTATGATTGTTTGCCTGAATATATGTCTGATGCCTGCATGTCTGGTGCCCACAGAGACCAAAGAGGACATTGGATCCCCCTGGAATTAGAGCTACAGAAGGTTGTGAGCTGCTTTGTGGGTGCTGGGAACTGAACCTGGGTCCTCTGATCAAGCAGCCAGTGCTCTTAACCACTGAGCCATCTCTCCAGCTCTGAGATAGGGTCTTGCTAAGTAGCTCTAGCTGGCCTGGAACCCTCTACATAGCCCATGCTAATCTCAAACTTAAGGGCATCCTCCTGCTGGGATTCCAGACACATGTCACCAAAGCCATCCAAGCTCTTTGTGTCATTTAAAACATATTTCATTTTTAAAGAGGCTTGGGCATCAGGTGTACCGTGGTGTGACAGACAGATGCATGGGGATAGTTTAAAGGAGTAGAGGTTTCAGAGGGACCATCCATGGACCACTGGATCCATTGTGTCTGAATCTGTCAAAGCAGAGCTTCAAGGCCAGGACAGTGTAGTAGGGCAAAGCTGCTCAGGCCAGGGTGGCAAGAAGCAGAGAGAGTAAAAGGACCAGGCAAATTTCGATTTTCTGGTGGCCTGTTTCCCTCGATGAGGGATGAGGCTTTGCCTTCTCCTTTAATGCAATCTTCCAACAATGCCATCTAATTACGATTTCATCAACCAAATCTACTGTTTAGGGTGGGATCCATTGGTAACACGGAATCCTCTGGGCCAGCCAGTTCTAGGAAGCTCATCAGCGACCAAACAATCCTCCAATCCACAAGCTTATAGGGAACCTTTCTGAACTAAGCTTCATCATGGAGTCTTGCTATGTTGCTCAGGTTAGCCCTGAACTGAGCTCAAGGGATCCACCTGCCTTAGCCTCCCAAGTAGCTGGGACCACAGGCAGATGCTGCTTTCATCTGGCTTCAATTATTTCATTTTATCTTCAAACAAAGCATGGTAAAATGGACAAATTCCCCTCTCTCCTGTCCATCAATCCTTCTACCTCTAGAATCGGGTCACATGACTTGCTTTGACCTCTGTGGGAGAGTAACACACCTGCCACAGCAGAAGCTTAGAAATTGATCGCGCGCGCGCGCGCGCGTGTGTGCGCGCGTGTGTGTGTGTGTGTGTGTGTGTGTGTTATATGGATCTGTGTCTGTGTTCTTGTGAGTTGCATATGCACATATGTATTCATGCAGGTGGAGGTCAGGGGTCAGATCTTCCTCAGTCATGCTCCACTTTATATTTTTGAGACAGCCTCTCTCTGAACTTGGAGCTCATCAGTTCAGTGAGGCTGGCTGGCCAGTGAACTGCAGGGATCTGCCTGTTTCTGCCTCCCCACACTAGGACCACAGGTGCATGTTATGGTACCCAGCTCCACCCCCTTTTGAAATGTGGGTGCTAAGTCAAGTTCTCATGTTGTAAGCACTTTGCTGACCCATCTACCCAGCCCTAGAAATCACTTCTGAGACTAGAACTTGCTCACCTTGCTCAGAGAAGCCTGGAGACTGCCACTGTGGAGATGAGCCTAGGCTAGCCACAGAACAATATGGTGGTGCAATTATTCCCGTCAACAGCAAGCCAAGGACCTACCTGGGAGTGAGATCACCCACTTGCCCTGAACACAGATGCTGGGACTGAGCCCAGCAGAAACAAGGGCTGAACCCAGTACAAGCCACCAATCCAGAGAACCGTACAAGAAGCAGGTGGCCATGGTGTGAGCCACGGACTTGGGGGCAGTTGGCAATCCACAACAGGCCTGTGAAGTCTGTGCTAATGCCACCACTTTATCTGAGAAAACTAGAGTTCAAGACAGCAAAGCAGCCTCCCTTCCCAGGGTCACACAGCTACAGGGAGAGGAGCTGGGGGGCCACCTAGTTCTGTCTGGCATCAAGCCTTTGGCTCTTTACCACTCAGACGTGTGGCTGGGCTCAGTTCTACCCGGGACTAGGGTATGGGTTCCCATCTCTCTGTCATTCTGTCATCTCTGTCCATCTCTCTGTCATTCCAGAAGAACGGGGCCTTCTCCAGGGCCCAGAAATACAGGGGTGGGGTGGGGGTGGGGGTGGGCTCTGAGCCAAGTCCGAAGAGGGCCTTAGAAAGATCTAGAGCCCAGGTGGTGTCACGCCCATGTGCAATTCCAACACCAAGGAAGTGGAGATGCGAAAAGCCTTGCTGGCCAGCTAGTGAGGCTCCCCAGACAAGACAGATGGACAGCCTCTGAGGAATTACAGCCAAAATAATTGACCTCCGGCCTCCGCACCACACAAACACAGATGTATGTACTCCTTTGCACATGCACGCACGCACGCACACGCACACACACACATACAAAATCACAAGTTCAATTCCCCTAAACAGCAGCCACTGACACCCATTAGGCACTTTATTTGAGATAATGCATTTACTTTCCTTCTTTTTTCAGTGTTAGGGATCAAAGTTGGGGCCTTGAGCGCCCTGGGCAACTACCACTGCTCTGTATCTCTTTATTTACCTCCCAGAACAACCCTGCATATTAGACACTTCATGCAGTGTTTTACAAGTTAGGAAACTGAGTCCCAGAAAACTGGAGCCACCTGCTCAAGGTCGAATAGCCATGAAGCAATGGTCAGGCCTGGGCTATTCCCCAGCATCATATGGGGGTGGGCAATAGGTGGCTTTACCTCCACCCTGGGATTTCAGAGTTGGCCCCTGTTTGAGTTCCTTGTGGGTCCCAGGAGCCAAGGTCTCCCTTGGCTGTCTTGCCTACTGGGTTTTGGTTTACCGGTGTCTCCAGGTCCCAGACTTGACTCAGGCAGGGACTCAACGACATGTTACTGAAGGATGACAGTAGTGGGTGTCACAGCTAGGCTGCTGTCTAGAACCACACTAGATTCTTCTGGACTCCCTGGAGCATCATGGCATGGGTTTGGTCCCAGCTGAGACTGGGAAGTCTGGAATCCAGAGGCTCTTGTCACTCAGTACTCAATACCAGTATTCACACAGCCACCACAGGGACTTCAAAGCCATCACCATCCTGCTCCACTGGAAAAGCAAGGGAGGCTGGGGTCTTGACATCAATGTCACCCTTCTTGAAGGGTGGCATCTCCTGCTGATCACAACACTCTCCACACCATGGCCTCCATCTGCAGGGCTGCCGGCCCCCATGGTGACCCCAGAAAGTAACTGGTAATAGTTGACTGTGTTCTCCGTGTCCGCCATGGCCTTTCATGGAACTTAACTCAGAGGCAGCGCCGCAGAGCTGTACCCTGTCTGAAACGGTCCCGAGCACGGCCCACAACCTGCTTCCCTGCCAGTGAGAGGAAGGACTGTGTCACACCTTGTCCCTATTGCTCGACACCCTATTGGCACACAAGGTCAGTCCCACTGCCTGCCGAGACCCTCCAGGATGCTGAAATGTGCTCTGTCCACCAAGAGCAGGCTGGGCACCGCCCAGACTTCAGCGCCCCCAGAGGAGCTCCAGGCAACTACAGATGGTGTATCAATTTTCCACCTCAGCCTTGGGGGAG